GAGGAGATTTGGTTGAGGTGTTTAAGATTATTATGGGTATTGACAATATAGATCATCAAACATTTTTGTGTTTAGCAGTGAAATCATTAGGACAAGGAGTCATAAGTTCAAATTTTGGCAGCGTAGGAGTATTACTTTTCAAACAGGGTGGTTGGCTTTTGGAATGAGCTGCCTTCAAGGGTGGTGGAGGCATAAAAGTTAATTGAGTTCAAGAAAAGATTGGATGAATACATGAGTAGTAAGGGGTGGTTATAGTTTGGAGCTGGAAGGGACATTCTTGATGGACTAATAAGCTCCTTTTTGTTCCTTTAAAATTTTATGAAATATGAAGGCCCCTACTTATACTTGTTTTTCCATTCTCATATCAGACTCCTATGAGCATTTATTCTAATCTTAACATAGGAAAAAATTGTGGCATATATAATTTTAGGGAAAAAACATTTTACTTTGTTGTTTTTTAAACATATATTCCTTTTTTAGGTGTGAACTCATCCCAGGAATACTAAGAAAATGCAACAATTCAGATAATTTTTTCTTTCTTTCACTTTATGGTTTTAGGCGAAGACACTATGGTTTCTCATCCTTTCCAAAGCTTCCGGGGCTTAACTATCACACAGCCTCCACTTCTTGTGTTTACTCTTTGTCTTATGGCTTTTGGAGTTACTATGGTAGTTTTGGCTTATGTCGTTGGAGAGAATGAAATCACTGATCCAGAGGACATCATGGTAGGTAACTGAGCACACACATTATATGTACATAACCACTGATTTGTGTAAGTCTTGAAGTTATAGTGTGAGAATAATGATCATATACATATAATTTGATCAGCTGAACGTTAGTACTTTTATCTTCCTAGAAAATTTTAAGAAAATAAACTAAATCAGTTGTGAAATCTTATATAGTTTCTGATGAGCAAAAGCCTTCTAGCTAAGTGAAATTAAGTAACTTTGAAAAATCTTGCTGGTTCTGTATAGCCAAAATCCACTGTTATTCTTAAGGATTTTTCAAAGTTAGGGTATAAAAAGTTTTCAATTGGTAAAAATATATTAACTATTCTTAAAACAAATCTAAAGTTAATATTAACACAATTAAGTAGACTAAAAATTTTAGAAACTTATCATAATATTCTTCCTAAAATATATGCACATATAAACCTGCCAGTTTCCGTTAGTAATTAATGGGATATTACATCATAATAAGACTTGAATCATATCTTTCTTTACTGACTCAATGTGAGTTTCTATTAAGAAGTGTATAAAAGCATTTGAACTGGAGTGTGTTGTTTGCTCATTGTTGCTGCCATCAATTTCTTTCCCTCAGTACCAGAGCTCATCAGGTTAGCTTGTCTACATCATACAGAGTTTTAGTTGAAGTGTTATTAGACATGAAGTCTTAACACATTGGCTGTCATATAATAAATAAAGTATGAATAATATTAAACATTCAAAAGGTGCAAAGGAGCAGTCACAGTGTACCAAACTCATATGTCACAAGAGAAATTTGGCTTTGAAACATAATTGTCTGTGACCCACCAGTGGGGCATATGACAGCCAACGCGTTAAGATGTATAATGCAAAAGCTGGGAAAGCATGATCTCTTAGTTAATTTAAATGTTGTGATGTTACATCATGTTTATTACAAACTGTATTATTATTATATGCTTACCAGTTTCTAAATAATGTCCCCACCATTTTAATAAAATTTTGCATAAACAAGAATCACACTATATATACACGTCTTACCATCTACAGTCATATATGTGGCTGTTGTGTTATTCCCCTTACCATTGATCTGGATGGACTAACAAGTTATCAAGTTGGAAACTGAGATTCTCAACTTGTCATGATATGAATACTTACTATGTTTCTTATTATAGTGTTTACAATGGAATTGAATTATTGTGGTATTTTTAGAGATTTTTATTTTTCCTGTTACTTTTGTAAGTATATAAGTATGTCACTATGTAATAATCTCCTTTTTCATGTCTTTGACAGGATTGGAATATATTTCTTAAGCGTTTAACTGAACTGGAAATGTGTGTTGAAAAGGAAGCTATGATAAACAGTAGCAGGCTTTCTGCACTTAGAAATCTGCAATCACCTGAGTATACAACTTTTGACTTCTCTCAAACTTCTAACCTGACAGCTATTGGGAACTCCTCTGTACTGTTCCAACTGAGTGCCAAGAGGCCTGTAGTTGATCAGTCACAAAGCCTAAGTACTTTGATAACAGATATTTCTAGTTCTGATGAAGATATTCAAATACTACCAAATGTTTCATTATCAGTGGCTGTACCTTTCAAGCTCAGCAAAATGCTATGGAATGCTATGATTTCCATGAAAAGTCTCAGTGGTGTTGTGACAGGCAGACTGTTAGGGTTTTCAGGTTGGTAGGAAATAGGTTTGGGTTTGTCATATAATAAAATAACATATCAATGTTAATAAAGTTTGGAGATGACTTGAATGGGTAACAAAGAAAGCTTTATTACAATTTTGACACAGTAAGAAATATACAACATTTCACAAGGTTTTGTAATCATCAGGATCATCCTCGTTGAAATGTTGTACATTTGTTACTATGTTAAACTTGTAATTGAGTTTCCTTGTTACTCATTCAAGCTGTCTTCAAACTTTACACATAAAGTGTGTTCTTTGAAATATCAGCATCAAAAAATTTCATCACTACTTAATGGCACATGAAAATTTTGGTTAGCTTATCTTTTAAAGAACATATTTGTTATTTCCATTTTTACATTAACATTTTAGCAGTTAAATGTCATGTTTTAAAAAGTAAAAAATGATTAAGGAGGCAGTGATCTATTCCATCTGTTAAAGTTAGTCCTTGTCCCCAAACACCAGTCTGTTAAAACCTAACAACTCTTTACATCCATATGTCTATCCAGTAATGACTTGAAAGGCTGTAAACAATCAGCACATCATCAGACAAACAATTCCACAAGTTAAAAATACAAACATAAATTATTTGGTATAAGAAGTCTGAAACAAGGGATATCTTAGGCCAGTTTTCAAGTCAGTTACTAACTTTATGAAATTATGAATCATAAATTAAACAAAAACTCCCTACAGTTAGTCTGTTCAAGTCTGTTATACTGTTGAACACATGACATCAATCACCTGCAGTTCCTCTTTGCTCCAAAAAACTGTTTAAGTATCTCCTCAGTTCAGATGTTTTGAACCAGATACTTTTCACCTTAGTAACAATTTCAAGCACCTTTTCTATCATATTTGTATCTTTCTTATGTAAAATTATCCACTGCATTACGGTGAGGTCTAATCAGGTTTTCCTGTACACAAAGTAAGTGTATGTAAGTAAGTAATTTTTTAAAATTAAAAAATCATCACCAATTGTCTTGTTATGAGTCTAATTACCACTAATGAAGACATTAATTAAAATTAGTTGCCCATAGGTCTTTAACATTGCAGAAAATTTACAAAGTTTTTAATTCAGGCTATGAGGATGTTCACAAAGAGTATGTGTATCAATTTTCAGATGTTTTTATCATTCCTAAGTAGTTATGGTGTTAAAACAGTTTATGTTATGTATTTCTTTATCCCTGCCACATTAATTATGTATATGACATATATAACTGAAAGTGTACTTTCAGAGATTGTGACATCACACTTTTGTTTTGTGCTCAACTTGAAGGTTATTATAAGTGTTTAACAGTGTTTCTTCAGCATGTAAATTTGCCCAGTTTTAAGGGGCAGTGCTACATTAAAAATAGATGTAACTTGTTTGGTGTTTTTCTTTCATTCTTTAGGTAAGGCAGCAGACCAGGAACTCAACGTCACCATTAGCTTACCATTTCGGAAGATGACGTGTTCAGAGATGGGGTGCACAGTTATGACCTGTCTTACATTCTATGGCTCATCTATGTTGATTCCTCAGACTAGGTGTTGTACAAAGTTTATATATATATATATATATATATACACAAACTTATATAAACCTTAAAATCTTTCAGACTTAAGTGAAATGTAGCAATGAAGGAAAAAAAAGTAGCACCAAGTTACAGTATATAGTTTGAGAAATCATTTTGTTTTTTAAAAATTTGTGGAAGTAGGACTTACAAAGTGGTAGGGATATGCTAACAGATTTTACCTCAGTTTACATGGAAATACCTCAAAAGCCAAGCTACATTTTATGATTTCCCACACTAATTTGTAACTTGGTATCATTTTTGTTGTTCTGTCCTTGTTGCTACTTTTTTATTGGCTTGGTGTTATTTATGATGTTTGACACTTTCCTCCCATATGATCTGAAACGTATTAAATAGTTTTGGTTTCCTAAATTTGTTTATATATATATTTCTTTAACTGCCTTGAGGATTTTACAGATTTTTACAGGAAAGTTTAAAAATGGATGCATGTTGTTAAATGATGTTCCAATACAATATGTAACCTTTCTCACATCTAGCTTTCCCAGTTCAGTGCTGCCCTCTTTTTAATTTGCCACCAGCCTCGAGGCTCCCACCTAACCTCGTATGTTTCCATGTGATATTGCTGCATGCAATAACTTTTCATCAATAGGTCTGCGACACCATGTCCTAATTTATCTGGCTACCTCTATACTGATTGTTTGATCATGACTTCTCGATTTGGCACTTGTGTGTTAAGATGTGTCTTTTTTCGGTCACTTAAGATTTCTCAACATCAGCATTTGGTTAAGTATCTACAAAACCAACTTTTATTTTCGAACAATTCTGCTTCTGCAGACTTTCTGAGTCTTACTTTCCACAACATGAATTACACTGAGATGGTTTTTTCCACGTTGCCTGGTGTTAAAGATCTGGATTTTGTTCACTCTAGGCAGACTACTACATTGGCATTGGGTGCTTATTTGTCTGTCATTGGATGTAATGACTACTGTGCAGTGGGTGGTGGAGTCTTGCATGCAACCTGGGCCTTTTTCAAGCCTTGACATAGACTCCTCTCCTCCTATAATTCCCATCTGTGAGGATGTTGGTTTTAGGCAGTATTTTCCTGCCACCTAAATTTGCAAGTAATTCTTCCAGTGTATATATGGATCTACCTTGACATTCTGTATCCTTCCATGATGTTTCTTCTCGGGTACTTTACCTTTTTTCACTCTCTCCTATTTTTTATTATTCTTTACTTACCCTTCTTCATTTGGCCCTTTCTTCAAAATATTATGTATTTCCTCCTTTCCCTGATATCCGAGTTCATGCTGAACACTTTTTGTCTTAACTTCACTTTTGTGCCACTATGCCGTGTCTTCCTCGACTGGTTGTACATTTGCCTTAGCTTCAATCAAGGTTAAGCCTTTTTCTTGGACTCCCAAACTCTGGAATCTCTTCTTCAGGCTTGGGGTTCTGATCCATTTTCTTCTGTTAAACTTTCTCAAGCTCAGTTTTCTCACCTTACCCTCACAACCCTTTTACAATATCTATCCATCTCCTTCTGGAAGCAATTTACCATTTTCCTGAGGGGTTTTAGGTGGAAACTCAATCCCTTCCTCTTTTTCTTTACACTGGTGTATTCTTCTTCCTTGGCCTTCTCCCTTGGTTACTCTGTTGCTGGGATTTGTGGTCAAGGAATGCCTTTCTTGGTCAAGAATGTTTATCTCCCTCTTATCTCAGGGACCTTTATCTGTCTTTTTTCCTCCACCAATGGGTTTTTGGTGGGGTACCTTAGTCTTTGTAGTAACAGGCTGAGGCCAAACACCCACATTTTTCTTTTCTGTTCCCTGTTCTTCCATCCCATTCCTATTCTCCCATCCATTCTTCCACTATCTATAGTTTTCAACACTGATATATTGGTGACTATCTTCTGGGCTCAAGAACATGGAGCCATTTGGCTTAATTTGAGAATCTATGGATTCCTTTTGCAGCCAACTGTTGGAGACTACAGGTTTTATCTTTTGGCTTTATCCTACATTTTTCTTTCTTCCCCTTTGTCTCCTGTTCCGTTCCCTCCTCCAGAGGATTCTGTCTCTCACCGGTGTCTTTCCGAGGTGGGGTCAGACCTTATGGCCAAGGATGTTATCAAATGGGTTTCTCACCTATCTCTGGGATTTTATTCTCATTTGTTTGTCATTCCATAGTAAACCAGGGATTTGCATCCACTCATCATTCTTTCCTATCTCCATCAGTTTTTCAACTTTCCTCAGTTTATCATGATGAATTTTTTCATCTTCTAATGGTCTTTCCAGAGCTTTGGATGACCAGGATCAACTTCTCTGATACCTACCTTCACATTCCCATCTCCCCAGTATCCATACTTTATCTTTGGTCTGTACATCAGTTTTGAGATCTTCCTTTTGGCTTGGCATTGATACCATATGTTCTTTTTTGTCACATAGTGTGTGCCTACGATACTCATGTTCATGGCTTGGCATTGAGATTCCACCATTATATGGACAACTGTTTTCTTTTAGCTCCATTCCAAAAAGACTCCTCTGACAATACTCTTCTCCTTTTTTTGGGGGGGGGGGAGTGGCTCATCTGAGTTGAGTAATCAAGCTACAAAAGTTTCATCTCACACTCAACCAATATCTGTTTCATTTGGATGTGTTTTTCACTTCCCATCTCAGCAGGGCAAAACCTTCTCCACTGCATTTTTGGGCCATGGAGGGTTTGATTTCTACAGCTCTACCCTCTTCTTCATTTTTTGCATGAGAAGTTCTCTAGATATTGGGGGCTTGAGCTTCCTTGTGTCATGCTCACATGCATCTTTTACTGTGGACTCTATACAATTAATGGAACCTCTCATGGGATCCCTTTTCTCCCAATCCTCTCATTTTTTAATGACCTTGCTCTCATCTGGGCACTCCTCACATCAATGCATTTGCCACTTATAACAATGCCAAGCTTCCCCTATTTGTTTCCCCTGTTCTGCATACATCAGCACTGGTAGTGAATGTATTAAGTCAGGAATGCTCTAATCTCTTCCATACCCCCCTATTTATCTTTTTCTTCAAGTTCTCTCCCTCATTCTGGACACTCCTTGTTGGGTCCTTCTGGTGGAGCTCTATTGGCAGGCCTGATTGTGGTTTTCTTTACTGAGCATTCAGACTTTTCCTCTACTTTTCCACTTTCCTGCTCCTTTCTTGTTCAGCCTGGTACTTCTCTCTTCCATCCAGCCATGTCATCACTCTGGCTTCACGCATGGGATTTGTCCAGTCATTTACAGGACTCTCTTTATGTGTAGCCTTCTTCCTGTACCATTCTGTTTGTTTGTCCTCTTTATAAGTTTATCAGTGGAAATGGCATATTTATCATTACTGGTATCAACATCGATCCTTCTCCTCCTTCCATTCCTCATCTATATGTGTTCTTCACATGACTTTTCAACCAGGACTGGTCTATGTCAACTCTTGCTGGTTACCAGGCAGCTTTCTTGACTACCATCCAGTTTTCCTATTAAATTGGGTATTTTCCTCCCCATTCTTTTGGCTTCCCAACTGGATTATTAATGTTGATCTCCATGCCCTTACTTTCTACTTCCCTTGAACCTTTGTCTTTCTGTTCCTTATACCATATGTCCCATAAAACTTATTTCCTCTTCTTTACCTTTGGTCATTGGCATCCTGATGTGTATGTCATTGCTTCTTCTTGCATTCTATTCCATTGCTCCTATATCCTTCTCTTTCTGGATCACACTTTCTCCCCCTAAAATATCAGTAGTGCTTGGGGTGATAGTGTGCTCATCCCTATATCTCTTCCTTTTATTCTCATCTTGATTCTAGTTCAGATCCTAATCACTTCCTCTGTCCTGTTTCTGTGGTGTACTATTATTTGGCCCACACTCCTTCCTTTCAAAGTTCCAAATCCCATCTCTTCCTTCCATGATATCCTTCATCCACTTGTGATCTTTCTCCTGTTACTATCATTAGATGGTCTGATAGCTTATCTGTTTAGCATATTTTTTGATTGATGGAAAAACCTGTTGGCATTTCCAATTGTCCTCCCATCAAATTCTTCACCTGGGTAAGTCTTTCTTTTCTTCTTACCCCCCTTTTTTACAGATCTCTATGGCCCCTTACAGGATCCCACTCAGTGGCAAGTGTTGCTTGCTAGGGTATTTAACTAAAATACACACAGTGTAGGGCCACCCTGGTCCAATATAGCACTCACCCATAAGATGTGGTTTTCACAAGACTACTCGAGGTATCCTCACAGTGCTCATTTTTGTAAACAAGCCCCGATCCAGGCCATACCTACTTACGGAATAGCATAAGTAAAGCATGCAGGGGATTCCTACCCATACTCCATGCCTAGTTTAAAACCTACTGCTGGCCTGCTTTAAAAAATAAGGTTTTTGTAGTCACCTGTTGTACTGTCTTATGGTGATGTGCTCACTATGCTTTCATCACCCCTATTTCTTTTAGTGGATCATGAGAGTCCTTTTCACTCACCAGCTCCTAGCCTCCTGAGTGTGACCAGTTCCACTCAATAGAGAGTATGGTGGTGGTGTTCTATCTGTGTAGTACAGTTCACCCCTCTGAACAGCTTTCCCCATCCTACTTCTACCTGGAAGTCAGGTTCCCAGATGATCCGGTGTTGGATTGACACAGGACCGGCCAACATCAGTTCTCACTCAGTTACATGGCAGATGTTACTTTCCCGTTCTGCCTTACAGGTGCAAATGGTAGAGACTCTCCCCTTACTGTGTCCTGGTGCCTTCTGGTTTTGGACTGGAGTTGACCTACCATGTATGGTCTAATGTGTCCTAGCCACACTACACATATAGCACTTCCAAAAGCCTGATGCAGGTTTTGGACTGTGCTTGTATCTTCTGCCCATTCTTGTGACACTTCCCTTCATTTATAGGCGACTAGTGTACCCTGGCACAGACAAGTTATGGTCTCCTATGAACATGCCCTTATACTATTCCAGGGTATAGGGTGTCACAATCCATGAGTTCCCTTCTGGCACATGCCAGAGGAGTTCATCTAGGTGAAATTTTGCACCACTCCTTTTGCTACTTCAATGTGGGATTCTGGCTGGATGCGAGTAGAGGGTATATATATATATATATATATTGAAAGTTAACCTTTTCAACACTGAAGATGTATTTCCAATAAATACTCACCTCTCTCGCACTTTCCACCCTTCCTTCCCACTTCCAGCGCAAATGTCTGAGTAATATGTTTCTTTCTCAAAAGTATTGTCATTATACATTGTAAAAGTACTTATATTTGGAGGTGAAGTATAAAAGCCCAGTGCTGTTGTGATTCAAGTCACTTAACACATTTTTATTACTATTAATTAGGTGTTAATTCACAAAATTTTTGATAATATAGAGGGAAGTGTAAAGAATTACCTTTCCCAAAATCCTCATGAATCTGGATTTATTAGAAAAATTATAATACATATGACTAATCACCAGAAAAGTATTCCCAGAGTTTTGTGGTATACTCTTTATCAAGGGATACTTATGTCATAAACATAGCCTAATAATTAACTATGGTTTTATGATAAAGATGATACATGAAATGTTGGGAATAGAAACATATTTCCTGTTGATTAGTAATGTGTTTTATAATTCTTTCAGTGTTTGCTTTTCTCCAGTGCATTAGAATCATTGAAAAATAATGAATCTTAGAATTATTATTGATTGTGGCTTAGCATATTCCTTTTTCAACAGACGTCCACCCAGTTGTCAGGTATATCCTACAACTCTCACAGTTCCCTTGAGTCTATTACATTCAGGAGATGTAGATTTTGGACCTGACACCTGTGCTGGTGGAACACATGTTACATTACAATATGAAGAAGATCCAGAGCTTAGTGTCATGTTATCTTATGTGAGTCAGTCGATCAAAAACATTTTAAGTTGAGTGTTCATAAGTTCTTCTGAAAATATATTCATACATTTTAGAATTTTTTAATTTAAATTAGAAATATAAAATCAAATAAATTTGTCTTATTAGAAACATAGAGTAGTCAATTTTTTACTTCTGAAAATGACATAGACATGTAGTGTTTTTTAAGTTGGCCATTGTTACTAGATATCTTTCTGTTGATGAACTGTCATATATACCCAAAAGATTCAATTAATAAAGAGTCATAAAAAATGATAAAAATAAATCGAATGAAATGTAATAGGCATTTAGTTTGGGAAAATTTTTTTAGTTCCACTGTGTATGCTGCTTATAAGCTAAATTCATACAACAAGACCAGTGGAAAGTATGACCTATTTAACTCAGGAATTCTATTGGGTTGTTGCTAGATCTTTCTATGTGTATTTTTGTAGTAATTATGCCCTTTAAGATCAAACTTTTACCAGAAATCTTCAATCATTTAACAAGACCAGTGGAAAGTATGACCTATTTAACTCAGGAATTCTATTGGGTTGTTGCTAGATCTTTGCATTTGTATTTTGTAATAATTATGCCCTTTTACCAATGTAAAGTATTGTTATGTAGCTGTCTATTAGTTTTTTATATTAGAATTCTGCTAAAAATAACAATAATGTTTCTTTTTATGAGGTAGAACCATCTAAGTTTTCTTTCAAGACTAATACGTTATTATATTATATAATATAAAGGCTGACACAAATCTTTGTTAATATTCTTCATTTTTAACACATATCCTTATAAAAGTGTGCTGTAGTTTAAAGGTTAACACATACCTCTGGATAAAATAACATAATTCCTTGTTTACGTGTTCTCTGGTTTAAAGAATAATACACATAGTTGTATTAGTGTGTCTGGTTTAAAGACTAACACATATCTTTGTTGTGACCTCTGGCTTAAACAATAACAAATATCATTGGTAAAGTGTTCTCTGGTTTAAAGATTAACACATATCCTTGTTTAAGTATTACATCATTTTGTGTGTCACACGTATCTTTGTTTAACTGTTACCTGATGTACAGTAACACATATCCTTATAAAAGTGTGCTGTAGTTTAAAGGTTAACACATACCTCTGGATAAAATAACATAATTCCTTGTTTATGTGTTCTCTGGTTTAAAAAATAATACACATAGTTGTATTAGTGTGTCTGGTTTAAAGATTAACACATATCTTTGTTGTGACCTCTGGCTTAAACAATAACAAATATCATTGGTAAAGTGTTCTCTGGTTTAAAGATTAACACATATCCTTGTTTAAGTGTTACATCATTTTATGTGTCA